TCTATGATCTATGATCTTACTTTGAATCTGACTGAATAGAACAAGTATTTTGATTGATTCGTAAATAAAACTGAATATGCGGTATTCGGAGCTTTCAGATTAGAGATAATTATATATCTATCATTGATTCTCCTTGTAAAATGTGGTTGAGCTATTGCGTTACATACCTGAAGTTTATTAATTTTTAAATAAAATTTACTCAAAAACGATTTGCCTTCATAGGTCATGAATGCATTGTTGTGTCTATGTATTCCAGCCAGGTTGTAGACGATTCCATTAGTCAGGTGTAGACCGGCCTCATACGTTATGAAGAAAGGCTTCTAGCAGGCAGTTTGTTTCGCATTACTCATATTCAGTTTAAGGCGATTTTAAGTTAACTTACAATAGAGATGCTCTCTTTCATGTCTGGCAGATCGAGATGGGCTATACCCAATTTTTGAAGGTGGGCGAGCACCATGGGCGTCACCACATCGACTTCGGCATCGATGTTTGTCCAGCCGACATCATCCTTTTCGAAACTGCTCTTCGGATTACTACTGTCTGCTGTATCTCGACGAATTCTTTATCAAAAACCAACAAAGGAAAGTTTTAATTCGGGAATAAATATAATTCTAAAAATAAATAATAAGGTTATGAGTAGAAAACACGCTATTCATACTCATCTATATCAAAGCTTTCCCTAGTTTTTCACTTTTATGAGGATGCACATAGATTAATCGATTAACGGAAAGGGGGAAAACAATAAACTCTTTATTATTATTTTAAAGATATTCACTTTCAGAAATTCCATGAAATCAATTCACACTTTTTGGATAATAGACAAATAAAAACGTTACTGTCAGACACTACTGTTTTATGAATACTCATTCATTGTCCAAGAGCAACTAATTATATATGTATATATATATAGATATGCTCATGATCAGTAAAGTACCTTTAACCCAGAGATTTAAAGGTAAGCAGTGAAAATGAGCTTTCTATAGGTAGGCCAATGACTTATGTGATCCGCCCAGAAACGTATAAAATATACATATATCCTAGGTGAATCCAATATTATTATATTATTATATTACATAAATACATTTTTTTTTAATTTAAAACTAATAAACTCTTCTTCATTTAGTGTACGGGCATTAATTTTTTTCTTCAAGAGTTAACAATTTTACAATTTAATTGAAATGAAAATTGATTATAACACAAATTTGAAAAACTTTTCCACTAAAGTGAAAGTTTGATGAAATAGATTAATGAATAATTACCTGTTCGATTCCTGTTGCACTTTGCCATTTGCGGTAAGTACGAGCAGTAATAATCCAATTAAGTATACACTCATTTTGTCTCTAGTCACATTCATGGTAATTAAACTGCGAACGCAAATTATAGTCAGCTTTTGCCTATTTTGCTTGATTAATTGCACTTAATCTTAGATCTTGAATTGAATCAACTTTTTGGTAGGCTGAAATTTTCTCGGTTTAATCACAAAACGAACTTATGGCTATATTATCGATTCAATATACATATATATTGAAATATTCAGAAGTGCGATCTTCGGGGATAGAATAGAAAATAAATGGATAATTTTGTCGTGAGTAATTTTGCACACACGTTTGTAGAAATATATATATATAAATGAAACGTATTTAAATGAATTATGATGTATTAAGTCACTCGGATAAATAATACTGGGAATTGGACTCGTAGGTATCCATTTGTTTGTACATTTTTATTGACTGTTTATTTGACTGCTAATGTTCTCTGTTGTGCAAATAAACGCTTTATTAATTAATTCGCATTCGATACACGGATTAAAAGCACTCATAAATGAAATATGTGTATATATACGCCCATTGGTATATAAGCTTGCATCTACATACATATGTACATGTATCATACGTAGGTAGTCATACTTATATGCGAACTTGAAACATACACATTTACATATGTCCATATGGATGTACTACTATTTCATAATAGCATTCACTTTAGTAGACAGCAGCTCGGATAGTTTTCGAGTCAAAATATTGTATTTGAACATTTTGTGCCACTCTAATATGCACAGCGCGTACGGAGACCCTAGTACGATCAAAGTAATTACTCGCTTCCTATTTAGTTATTGCGGCGAAGCTTTTTTGTAAATTAAAGCCAGCCCGAGAAACCCGAGATCGAATGCCCACCGGTAGACGCACTCGTGAGAGCAGCTGAAACGAAACTAGATGCCGAACAAAACGACTTCAACAAATATAGACTAGAGCCTCGTCGAATTTCGATGCAATCCAGCCTTGATCTTGTTGTCGAGCTTTTGGGGGGTGCGCAAACGGGCAAAGCTTGCCTATTTACAACCACGTTAAGGCAATCAGCTTTGTATACCCTGTAATAAGAAAGTGTTGCCGCCTTTGGTTGCTAAAATACAAATTGAATTGCTGAATACCATTCCACTTGATAATGGATAGAATCTATCTGAATGCATATGTAAACATATATCGCATATCTCTGATAGCCAAGTTTTCAGCTTAGCCAATGTAAAAGCTTAGCTCACAGCTCAGAGACCGTTGCACTCTTGCACTAACTTTAGAGCAGTTAAACAATTTAATAAATACTCTAACGAATGATCAATCTTACTTAACGGTAATCTAAATGTGTATTCCTTCAGTCTATTATAATTACCTGTATAAAAGTCATAATACCTCAAGTAACTAAATATTGGAGAGTAAATGAGCACCAACACGGCAAGTGTAGATACTACACTTTATCACAGACATACCTATACAATCACCCGCACACCTCAAGCTATATTTTTGTGCTGCTGAGCTTCACACTCAGGAGAGAATTTTCGTAAGTAACTGTGCTTACCCTTTTTCCGATTGCTACAGACTTTTGATAGCATTTATAAACGATCTCACATTAAAACAATGTGATGTGCGTGCGTGCTACCCGCGATATACACATACAGTGAATCCTCAATGGACGGACGGTAAAACTATTCGGTCATGCGATTTGGATGTTTATGAAGTAACCGTTTTACCCATGACAAATGGCTTTGGTATAAAGTCTTTAGTAATTGTTAAAAATCAAACTATTTATCATTAAGATATCATACTGTTGGGGCTGATTTTACATAATTAGAACCATGCACACACTTCTGTACAATTAAGTGTATTGAGTTATCTGTATAACTTATTTAATTTATATAGCTCCTCAATGTATGCCCATTACTTTTAAGTTTTGGGTAATTAAAATGTAAATCGTTCGCTTCTAATCGCACACAAATATTTAGCATCTTTGAAATACATTTTGCCAAATACGATTTTATTTCTATTGCTTTGGTAAATTCAAACTGATAAATCTAAAAAAACTATAAGGCTCCACATTCTGTTTTGTTATATAAACATTGAGAATACAACATTTGCAACAGGAGATAAATGTAATTTGTTGATCGAATAAGCGAACTTTTTACCAAGTGTTCAGAGTCGATGCAGTCACATACGCGTATATTATTGGGTAGATCTCGTCTTTTATGTTCCATTATAGGAAATTGGAGATTGATTAGCAGCTCAATCCAGGTTTTAAATAGCGCTGCAAAACTTCAACAACGAATAACTAATAAGAAAAAATACTAACACCATATACGATATAACACATTTTCACAGATTTTCCAATCTCTTGTTTTATGATTTATTTGCTGTCGTTTGCTTGCTTGCAATGTTGATCGGAGTTCATTTCATACAGGCAGCCCTCTGGTTGGTTGTAACTTAAAACAATTTAACACAAAGTTTGGTTTAGTTAGCAGATTGGGAAATTGGATCGATCTTGACATCGGGAAACTTGAATTCGGGAAATTTAAGCATATCGGTCTTTCCATCGCTGCCGTACTGCTTAGCAACACGCTCCAGCTCATTTTTCAATTCTTTCTCAATTTCAGGATTCGGGTCAACCATCTTGCCACCTCTGCAAATAATATGATTGTAGGTCGAATGATTTTAATGGTTATTTGGTACTTACGCGCTCTTCTGCTTATATTCGCGCACCTTGTCCAGGAATAGTTGCTGGATCGGATCGGACGCCTTGTTCAGAGCTGGGGCAACAATGGCAATGTTGCGACGCGCCTCAGTGCGCAAAACACGGATACCGGTTAAAATAGATTGTGACAGCATCTATAAAACAATAGATTTCAATCAGATTTCGACTATATTGGTGCTAACAATTTGGTAACCTTAAAAGGTTATGTAATGCATGTTGTTTATGTAGCGTTTGATATTCTGATGAAGGTTATGAATATTTTAGTCCAGGTGAAAGCTTGGTATCGGTTAAATATGCTTCATTCATTTAATGATTTTTCTTTACCTTATTTTATTTCCAAATGCTATTGTACTATATATGTGGAAAATTGTTCAGGCAGCAGCAGAGTGACAGCGTTTTGGCAACTCACAAATACTCCAAATTTATTATACAAATACCAAAATGCCTACTTTGAAAAAATAAAATACTATTAAAATACTTTCCTCTTACAAATTGATCGAAATGGTTAAAAAATGTAATATAAATAAGAAATTTCAATATCTTTATATTTTCAGGACTTTAACTTACTAATTATATTTTATTAACAGCAATAAGAGTTTTACAACTATATATTAAAGTTATACATCGATAGTATTGAAATATCGATTGCGGACCCACCTGAATTCGCATATCGATTGCGGCTCATATTCCACGTCAAGCGCTTGTAGTCCGAAGATTTTTTATTTTAATTTGTTTGAGTTAAGAGCAATACATTGAAAATGGTGAGCTTGCTACAGGAAATCGACACAGAACATGAGGATATGGTTCACCATGCGGCTCTTGACTTCTATGGACAGCTACTGGCTACCTGTTCGTCAGACGGAACCATCCGAATTTTCAACTCACGTAAAAACAACAAAGTTCTCACAGAACTGAAAGGACACCAGGGTCCTGTGTGGCAAGTAGCATGGGCACATCCAAAGTTTGGCAGCATCTTAGCATCGTGTTCCTATGATCGCAAAGTAATTATTTGGAAGTCGACTACACCCAGAGATTGGACTAAACTGTGAGTGTCTGTTGTTTGTCTATATGTAATGTGTGTCAATGTTTTATGTTGACGTTATCTATACCAGCAACAGATGACGTCTATATTTAGATTCAGTTCCCCAATTATTGTAATTGCATTACATTTCAGATACGAGTACAGCAATCATGATTCCTCGGTCAATTCCGTGGACTTTGCGCCTCCAGAATATGGTTTAGTGCTTGCTTGTGCCAGCTCAGATGGTTCGATTTCAGTGCTCACCTGCAACACGGAGTACGGTAGTTGGGATGCCAAGAAGATACCCAATGCTCATACTATTGGAGTTAATGCTATTTCCTGGTGCCCGGCACAGGCACCCGATCCTGCCTTTGATCAGCGAGTCACTTCGCGCAATACAGCCGTAAAACGTTTGGTCAGCGGAGGATGCGATAATCTCGTAAAGGTGTGGCGTGAAGATAATGATCGCTGGGTTGATGAGCACCATCTCGAAGCACATTCCGATTGGGTGCGCGATGTTGCTTGGGCCCCATCGATTGGCTTGCCCCGCATGCAGATCGCATCGGCCTCACAAGACCGTCACGTTATCATTTGGAACAGTAATGCTGACTTGACCCAATGGACATCAACTGTGTTGCACACATTCGACGATGCCGTGTGGAGCATTTCCTGGTCCACCACGGGCAACGTGCTGGCTGTCACTGGAGGTGACAACAATGTCTCATTGTGGAAAGAGAACAGTGAGGGCCAATGGATACGTATTAACTATGAATCGGGCACTGCCACCCAATCGAAGCAGTCGCATCATCTTCGCAATCCCCAGCAGCAACCGCAACAGCAACCGCCTTCAAACAAGCCAGTAATGTCGGACTCTGAGCGCAGCTCGAACTTATCCAATTCGAACTTGTCACATTCGCAGATGTCAAACTAGATATATTCTATAGATCGTGTGAACGGCCTAATTACAAATATTAAAAATGTTGGTCATTAAATCTAACAAATTAAAAATATATATATAATATAAAGTTAATGCTCCGTTTTCATTAATTATCGAGCGGAACTCAGCGTAGCGCAATTTAGCAAATTTCTTGCATTATTCACAGCTAATGGCTTTTATTCCAGTAATTCGCAATAAGTTCGTATATATGTATTCCCTCTCCTCACGCCTAATGACTAGCCGCCATCCACAATAGCTTTGCTGCCAAAGAGGACGCCCCAATTGCAATATTCCTGATGCTCCTGCCGTTTCAGTTAATTTCATTTTATTCATAAGGAAGGAAGTTACGCATTTCGCATAAATTTGCAACACGTGCCGCCCTACAATGGAACCAAGCAGAGCAGGCAAACTAATTTGCCATATATAGTATATATTTGCGTATGCATTAGCCAGTTTTAATAGAATCACTTTGCAATATGGCGTGTTGGAGCAAAAATATAATTGAAATTACATGGAAAATTGTTCGAA